TTTATTGGACAATGGAGAAATTCCAAGGGGGGGGGGAGAGAGAAGGGAAGGGAAGGGAAGGGAAGGGAAGGGAAAGGGCATTAAAATCAAGTCACAAAGAAAATAGATTTGTTATGAGGAAAGAAAGCAGCCCTCACAAGCAAACACTGCAATGATTCAATTAATGAAGCAGTTGGGCATACAATATTGTTAAGCAAAGCAAAGCAGCCTTTTGATGTGTTAATCATACCTGTGCCAGGCAAAATAATAACAGGAATAAGAATAATGTCAATGGGAATGAGCAAAATCAGTTGCATGCCTGCAAATCTGAATCTGGGAGAAGAAAACAAAAATATTGCTCTTGTTGATTTGTCTTGGCTCCTGCTGTTCTGATTTCAAACTGGGCTTGGCAGGGGTGGGAGAGGGAGGGGGAGAAGGTTTCGGCAAGGGCACCTGCGCCCCTGTGCCTTTAAGAGCCATACATAAAGGGGAGGGTGTTTTATTTATTTAGTTAGTCATTCATTGCATGTATACATACCACCTTTTCTTCTAAGGAGCTGAAGGTGGTGTGCTTGGTTCTCCTCCTCCCCATTCATCCTCTCAAAACCTGGGAGGAAGGCCAGGCTAAGTGACTGGGACTGGCTAAAGATCCCATCCAGTGAACTGGGGATTTGAGGAAGTGAGGAAAAGCTGTCCTCTCTCCACTTTCTCCTTGCCAGGCTTCATTTCATACACTTCTGTCCTGTGGCCTCACCCTCACCTTTTCTCTAAGCTAAAAAGTCCCAAATGAACTTTCCTCCTAGCAGAGCTGCTCCAACCCAGAATCATTTCGGCTGCCCTTTTCTGAACCTTTTCCAACTCTGCAATCTCCTTTTTGAAGTCAGGTGACCAGAAATGTATACAAATGTGGTCACGCCATGGTTTTGTATGATAATTGCATGATGATATTGGCAGTTTTATTTTCGGTTCCTCTCCGGATGATCCCCAGCATGGAATTTGCCTTCTTCATTGTTGGCGGGGGCTTCTTGAGCACGAATCCTGAGGCCAGAGATCTAGACCAGACTATCCACCATTGTGCATCCTCCAGAGGGCAAAAATCCTCCCTTGGGTCAGTGCCGGGGAGGGAGGGAGAAAGAGGCCGATATTTGTGTGCACAGAGGTGGGATGCTTGCTTGCCCACAGTGTGTGGGGAAGGCCTTCCCAAGATAGTGTCATAAATCACTGTGACACCTTCTCTTTGCGCAGACCAGGGACGGCTGACAGAGGCTATTTATCTGAGTGTCATTGGCAGTAAACTAGGTAGGGAAGAATGAGCACAAATGAGAGAGAGGGCGAGAGAGAGGGTGGGGGAGGGAGAGAGGATTTGCAACCTCACTGCATGAAGTTTTGCCCCCAACTCTCCACGGAAGTGACGCGCAGACTGCAGGAGAAAGATCCTTCGTGGCAGACGGATGGCCCCATGATAGGCATTCATTTATCCACTGATTGGAGTTATATGCTACCCATACAGCATATATATGGTCGGGCCCTTTAGGAGGTTTACAACTTATTTAAAAGTACCAAGAAATATAATCCAAAGTTTAAAACAGTGGTTCCCAAAGTGAGCAGGGGCACCTCCTGGGGGCACTAAGAGGCAAGGGGGGGCTGGGGGGGCAAATGACTGTCACCTCTGAAAAGGTGGTATTGCTGGATCAAGTTCATCAGTTTTCTTCAATTAATTAAATAGCTTTAACTGTGTTGTGAATAAATGTTCAATTAATTGCTACTGTTTTGAATTTTATTATGTTGTTATTTTCCTTAGTGGGTTGTGCAAATCATGATTCTGAATAATGCTTTTTATAGGTTATATAGGCGGGCACTGGGAATGAGTCCGTAGAGACAAGGGGGCAGTGGCCAAAAAATGTTTTGGAACTGCTAGTTTAAAGCAATTAAAATCAGTTATGAACAAGACAAAAAAGGTGGAAGAGAAACTATCTAAGAGCCAACACAGCAGCCTAACCTCGGTCTGAAGCAAATGCCTCACACCCACTTCCCTCCTGATCATTCAGTGCAGGTCAAGGACAAGAAACATCCACCTGCTGTCCTGTTCCCTCAGGAGGGGACCAGCTTGGGACAGGAGTCTCAGAGAAATTCTCTGGTCCACAATTGAGTGATAGTTTTTGTACCTGATTGTTTGCTGATCAGCAAAGGTGGTCAGTTTATGTTTTTTGGAACAAGCTGAAGATGGCTGCCCAAGGGCATTGACATAGCTATCAACATTTCCCCTTTTTAAAGGGAAATTCCCTTATTCTGAATAGGATTCCTCGCAAGAAAAGGGAAAAGTTGACAGCTATGGCATTGGATGACTTGTCATTCATTCATTCAGACCATTCCTTTCCCCATATACAGTGTGTGTGTTTGCCTCCAGGTTTTAAGTTGACAATTTAAACTTCACACCTTTGCCTGCTCTTGGTGTTGTTGTTTTAAAATCCTGAGAACTGTGGGTTACTGGTGGGGTAAAAATGTTATTGATTGGTTGGTTGGTTGATAGACTGCTGTATCTCACATAGATATAGATATATAAGCAGTTTACAGTAATAAATACATAAAAATGTTTCTTAAAAGTTAAAAACAGATGTCAATTAAGCATTGTAGAAGGATGTTGTTCTTAAGGATGTTGCCTGCATAATTCTTAATTTCTACAGCTAATCCAGAATGCGGCAGCTAGACTGGTGACTGGGGGCGGCTGCCGAGACCACATAACACCGGTCTTGAAAGACCTACATTGGCTCCCAGTACGTTTTCGGGCACAATTCAAAGTGTTGGTGATGTCCTTGAAAGCCCTAAAAAAATTAATGAGAATTAGAAAAATGTTGGAATGAAATTATTTGGCTTTAGCAGAAATGTTAAAAAGAATTATGTATGAATATGTTATGGTTAAAATAATTTGGTATAAATAAGATTTAAGTTCTAAGTTTTAAGGTTTTTTATGGTAAGATAAGGTTAAAATAGATTAAGGTAATTTAATGACAGAATATTGTGAAAGATGGAAAGGATTTGCTGAGATAATTAACAACTAGAATACAAAAAAGGGAGGTGTGAGGAGGTCGATGAAATAAGTTAATGAAAGTTAAGGATTTGGGAATATTGGATTTGTTTTTAAATCTTTTGTTTATTTTTGCTCTTTGATGTATTGTGTGTTTTGTTTTTTCTTTTGACTGTGGTTTTTATTGATTTGTATTGTTTAATTGTTATTTTTATCTACCTTTTTCTTTCTTTTTCTCTTTCTCTTGTTTTTTCCTTCTTTTTTCTTTGTAACTTTAAAATTCTCAATAAATATCATTAAAAAAAAAAGAAGAAAAAAAGCCCTAAATGGCCTCGGCCCAGTAAACCTGATGGAGCGTCTCCACCCCCATCATTCTGCCTGGACACTGAGGTCCAGCTCCGAGGGCCTTTTGGTGGTTCCCTCACTGCGAGAAGCCAAGTTACAGAGAACCAGGCAGAGGGCCTTCTCAGTAGTGGCGCCCTCCCTGTGGAACGCCCTCCCACCAGATGTCAAACAGATAAACAACTATCTGACTTTTAGAAGATATCTGAAGACAGCTCTGTTTAGGGAAGTTTTTAATGTTTGATAAATTATTATATTTAAATATTTTGTTGGAACCTGCCTAGAGTGGCTGGGGAAACCCAGCCAGATGGGCAAGGTATAAATAATAAATTATTATTATTACTATTATTATTATTATTATTATTTGCCTGGTGGAATAGAAAAGTTTTCAGCAGGCATTTAGAAGTTGGCACAGAAGGTGCCTGCTGAACCTCTAGTGGTAAAGAGTTCCCCAGGACTGGACCAATGACACGAAAGAATCAGGTTCTCATTGTTGTCAAACAAGCCTAGCCACTTCAGGCAACGGTGCTCCTGTTGGTGATCTCAGGGAACAAGCTGAGGTGTAAAGGGTTCAAATGGCAGATAGACTGATCTCCCTCAGCCTGTGAGAAGCTCCCAAATGGAAAATCCTAACCATGCAGGTAAGCCGGTCAGGGACAACGTCCTTGGGAATGTCACATGAGTGAGATGTGGAAAGGGCAAGTGGGGCTGGAGCGAGACTGGCTTGGGGATCGGCCGCTTCTGGCCCCCTCTGGCCCCTGCATGTTCCCAATTGATTCTTCATTAGGGAGAAGTGATTGGCAAGGCTGAACTTTGCCTCTCGTCTCTGGATCCGGCCCCCACCTTCCATCAATCTTGTGGACGGGGGAGCAGGTAGCTGGGCCAGCCCAATCCATCAATTTGCAGAGGGAAATGCCAGATGCACCATGGCGAACCTGAACCATGGTGACACTGCCATCTGCGCTGGGGTGGGGAGCCTGCCAATGTGCAGTGGAAGGAGGGGCCGGGGTTGCTTTGGGCATAGATGGATGACATGGCAGGCTTAGCACTGAAATGAAATCTAGAAGGCTCTGGGGCAGAGGAAGCTGCCTTGTACTGAGGCAGACCACTGGCCCACCTAGCTCAGCACTGCTGACACTGACTGGCAGCATCTCTCTGAGGTCTCAGGTGAGAGCCCTTGAAAGCCCTGCTTGGGCATAAGAACTTAAGGTGAGCTTGCTGGATCAGGCCAATGGCCCATCTTAGTCCAGCCTCCTGTTTTCACAGCGGCCAACCAGATGCCCATGGGAAGCCCGCAAGCAGGACCCGGGTGCAAGAGCAACTCTCCCCTCCTGTAGTTTCCGGCAACTGGCATTCAGAAACATCGCTACCTCTGGAGACAGAGCCCAGCCGTCCAGGCCAGCAGCCATGGGGAGCCTTAATCCTCTAGGACTTTGTCCCATCCTGCTGTAAAACCATCACTGCCTCTTGTGGGAGGGATTTCTGCCGATTCCCTCCACTGTGTGAAGGAGGACTCTCTTTTCTCTATCCTGACTCTTCCCACATTCAGCTTCACTGGAAGTTTGTGAGTTGTGAGGAGAGAGAGGACAGGAAACTCCTCCTCAGTGCTCTGTGTCCCCTCCGTTATGCCTCTGAGTACCAGAGATCCACTAGGCGATGCCATTGGGGATTGAACCCGGGACCGACTGTGTGGGAATCAGGTGCTCTGCCAGTGAGCCATGGTCCAGGAGGGATGAACAGAAGAAGGGCAGAAGTCAAGCTCCACCTCAAGACCAGATCCTGAAAAGAGCAGGAGGGGAGATGCTTGCGGACTTCCCGCAGGTTAGCCTCTGAGAGAACAGGATAGTGGACTAGCTGGTCCCCCCATGGCCTGATCCAGCAGGACCCCCACCCACTCCAGGTTCCCGGTGAGTCAGCCACCTGCTTATTACAAGGCCCTTCAATGCAAAGTATATCTGATTTCAGTGTGTGGGGTTTTTTTAAAAAAAGAAGTTTCAGAAATCAGCAGCTGTTTTGGGGGAAAGGCTCAACCAATACAGAATTTCAACTGCCGGCTTAGGAAGAGGCTTAACCCTTGCAGGTGTTTTGGAGAAGACTCTGAGAGTTGTAATAATGTTCACCCGCACACTCACAGCAGCGAGCAAAAGTGCTGAAGACATCAAATCAAACAGGAAGTTTCTTCCTGCAATTTCCCCATGCAAATTGTCTCCAAGAATGAAATGGAAAGTTGTTTGAATCAGTTCCCTTCCCCCACCCCATCCGAAAGCCAAAAGTACAAGTTAATGGAACTCAAATGGATCCCTTATGAATTTAAAATCCTTTCAGAAAGGGCGAAATTGTTACAGCTGAGGCGTTGCACAGGCCCCAGCGTTGCTTCCTTCCATGGCAAAAATTGAATAATTGATGTCATTTGCAGCGATATTGAAATGTAATGATAAAAAGGCTGCATGTTTCAGGAGCTGATGACAAACAGTTCTTTAATATGCAACTCTTCTTCCTCCCCCCCCCCCCTTTTTGGCAGAGGAGAAGGAGGGCTGGGGGTGCCTTTTAATATGGTCTAGGAAACCACTTAATGAGTGCGTGCAAAAAACTGGGGGTGGGGGGAGTAAATGGGAGCCCATCTCCATCAATGAGATGCAAGGAATTTCCACCCGACTCAGCAGAAGCTGTGAGTTTGGAGAGTGGGTAATTATATGAATGTAAAAATCATTATAATACCAAATGGCTCCTAAGGAAAATTGATTCTCTCGCTGTACCCTTTGATGTTTACAGGGAACGAGGGGCAGGAGAGAGGGCCTTGCTCACAGAGAGGTCACCTGATTTCCCTGATGATTCTGTTACTTATTTAGTGCCTTTATGCCCCACCCTTTCTTCCAAGGAACCCAAGGGGGCTGCGTACGGCTCTCCCCCCCCCACTATTTTATCCCTGAGAATAAAGTCGTGCAACTCAGAGTGATCTTTTTTTTTAAAAAAAATAATATTTATTAAAGTTTCAAAAAATACATGAAAATACAGAATAAAGAAAAAAGTATAAAGTTTTTAAGATACAACAAAAAAGTTAAAAAAAAATAAAGAGAAACATACAAAATAAAACAGTTAAAAACACATTAATTTTCCATGGCCTATCTTCCTTACACTTATTTCCCCGGACCTCCTCATACCTCCCTTCTTTGTATTCCTGTTCAGTTTGTTAGTTCAGCAAATCCTTACCATTAAACTTTTACCCAATTGTTAACCTTTTTTTTTTTCATGTCTCTTAAAGCATTACAGCTAAAAACCTCTTAGTTTCTATCCAACATCCTTCTAAAATTCTTTAATTTTGCAATATTTCTTAAATAGTCTTTAAATTTCTTCCAGTCTTCTTTCACCGACTCTTCTCCCTGGTCTCGGATTCTGCCAGTCATTTCCGCCAATTCCATGTAGTCAATCACCTTCATCTGCCATTCTTCCAAAGTGGGTAGATCTTGTGTCTTCCAATACTTTGCAATGAGTATTCTTGCTGCTGTTGTGGCGTACATAAAAAAAGTTCTGTCCTTCTTTGGCACCAGTTGGCCGACAATGCCCAAAAGAAAGGCCTCTGGTTTCTTCAGAAAGGTATATTTAAATATCTTTTTCAGTTCATTATATATCATTTCCCAGAAAGCCTTGATCTTTGGGCACGTCCACCAAAGGTGAAAGAATGTACCTTCAGTTTCTTTACATTTCCAACATTTATTATCGGGCAAATGATAAATTTTTGCAAGCTTGACTGGGGTCATGTACCACCTGTATATCATTTTCATAATATTCTCTCTTAAGGCATTACATGCCGTAAACTTCATACCTGTGGTCCATAACTGTTCCCAGTCAGCAAACATAATATTATGTCCGACATCTTGTGCCCATTTAATCATAGCAGATTTCACCGTTTCATCCTGAGTATTCCATTTCAACAGCAAGTTATACATTCTTGACAAATTTTTAGTTTTGGGTTCTAACAATTCTGTTTCTAATTTTGACTTTTCCACCTGGAAGCCTATTTTCTTGTCCAAATTATATGCCTCCATTATCTGATAGTAATGAAGCCAATCTCTCACTTTATTTTTTAATTTTTCAAAACTCTGCAATCTCAATTTATCTCCTTCTTGCTCCAAAATTTCCCAATATGTCGGCCATTTGGCCTCCATATTGAGCCTTTTCAGAGCTTTTGCTTCCATTGGTGACAGCCACCTTGGGGTTTTATTTTCCAATAAATCTTTATATCTTATCCAAACATTAAACAATGCTTTCCTAACAATATGGTTTTTGAATGCTTTGTGTGCTTTGACCTTATCATACCATAAGTATGCATGCCATCCAAATACATTGTTGAAACCTTCTAGATCCAAAATGTCTGTGTTTTCGAGAAGTAGCCATTCTTTCAGCCAGCAAAAGACTGCTGATTCATAATAAAGTTTAAGGTCTGGCAGGGCAAATCCACCTCTTTCCTTGGCATCAGTTAATATCTTAAATTTTATTCTGGGCTTCTTGCCCTGCCAGACAAATCTAGAAATATCTCTCTGCCACTTCTTGAAACAGTCCCTCTTATCTACAATTTGCAATGTCTGAAACAAAAACAACATTCTAGGCAATACATTCATCTTTATCACGGCAATACGGCCCAGCAGTGAGAGTTTCAAATTTGACCAAATTTCTAAATCTTTTTTCACTTCCGTCCAACATTTTTCGTAATTATCTTTAAATAAGTTCCCATTTTTGGCTGTCATATTAATCCCCAGGTATTTCACTTTCTTTACCACATTCAATCCTGTCTCATTCTGAAACCTCTCTCTTTCAATCGGTGTTAAATTTTCTCTAAAACCTTAGTTTTTAGCTTGTTCAATTTAAAACCTGCCACCTGACCAAATTCCTGAATTAATTCTAAAACTCTTTTAGTGCTAGATTCTGGCTCCTGTAGCGTCAATACTAGGTCATCTGCAAATGCTCTCAGTTTGTACTGTTTAGCTCCGACCTGTATGCCCTTAACCAACCGGTCCTTTCTAATCATATTTAGCAGAACCTCCAGGACCGATATAAAAGCAGTGGGGAAATTGGGCACCCCTGTCGTGTCCCTTTTTCTATCTTGAATTCTTCCGTGACCACATTATTTACAATTAATTTAGCCTTTTGTTCAGAGTATATTGCACCTATAGCATTTTCAAAGCCTTGGCCTACCCCCATCCCATGCAAGTTCTTCTTCATAAAACTCCAAGAGATATTATCAAAAGCTTTCTCCGCGTCCACAAATATCAAAACTGCTTTAATGTTTATGTTCACTTCTAGTTTTTCCAAAATATCAATTATATTCCTCAAATTATCGGACAAGTGTCTTCCCGGGAGAAAGCCCGCTTGGTCTTTATGAATCTCTTCCATCAATACTTTTTTCAATCTCTTGGCCAAAATGTCTGCAAAAATTTTGTAATCCACATTAAGTAACGATATAGGGCGGTAGTTCTTAAGCTGAGTCTTTTCAGTCTCTGTTTTCGGTATAAGTGTAATATACGCCTCTTTCCACGATTCTGGTGCCCTTTTCCCCTCCAATATTTCATTGCAGACTTCCTTCAAAGGTTGCAATAGCCACTCTTTCAGAGATCTATAGTATCTGGAAGTCAGCCCATCCGGTCCTGGAGATTTGCCCAGTTGCATATTTTGAATGGCACCTTCTACTTCCTGTTCAGATATTTTATAGTTCAGCATTAATTTACTTTCTTGGGAGATTTTTTTGTAGGCCATTTGTCTTCAAAAATTGGTCTATGTCCATTTCCTTCTGTGGCCCTTGTGTGTATAATTGTTTAAAGTACCTCTGGAAGCAATTTCTGATCTCATTTGGATTGTGTATACTCTTTCCTTCCACTTCTAGGTTTATAATGGTATTTAATTTTTGTCTTTTTTTCATTTGCCAGGCCAACAGTTTCCCACATTTATTAGCTGATTCAAATGTTTTTTGTCTCATTTGTTTAATTTTCCATTCTATTTCCTGATTCATCATTTCCATATATTGTACTTGATATAATTTTATTTCTCTCAAAATCTCCTGGGACTTTGGTTTTGCTCTCAATTTCTTCTCACCTTCTTTTATTTTCTCCAAAATTTTGTCTTTCTTTTCATTTTGACTTCGCTTTTTTCTTGCATTCGGTTGTATCAATAACCCTCTCATCAGAGCTTTGCTTGCGTCCCAGATTACTCTTTTTTCTACATTAGTGTTCATGTTTATTTCAAAATAATCTCTCAAAGTTTTTTGGGCCTTTTTATAAACTTCTTCATCTCTAAATAAGGTGTCATTCATCCTCCATCTAAAGGATCCGGTTGTTGTTTGTTTCATCTCCATCCTTACAGCGTTGTGGTCGGAACAGGTTTTTGGGCAGATTTCTACTTTCTTTATCTTTGGTGCCATTCCTCTAGTTATCCATATTTGGTCAATTCTAGTCCATGTCATCTTGGCTTCAGAAAAGAAGGTTCCTTCTCTTCCCAGGGGGTTCTTTACCCTCCAGATGTCCACTAAGTCCATATTGTCTATCATCTCAAAATGATATTGTTTTCGGTAGTCTACCATCCTTGGTGACTACCTGTCTTTGTGCCTTGTCCATATTTGTAGATACTACTCCATTCATGTCCCCCATCAAAATCAAATTGTAATCCAAATGATCCAGTAAAGTCTCATGCAACTTTTTATAGAATTCAGATTTCCCCTCGTTCGGTGCATAAAT